TAAAGTCGGGGGATTTTTTTTTTCTCTTCTGTTAAATAACTCGGACTCTGACGGATTACAAGGAAGTGGTCTCTTAAGAGCTGAGCTCTCAGAGTTTCTGGGAGGGAGGGAGCTGTGGAAATTCCCCTTCCTCGCCTGAAATAACTGGAACAGGAGCCCAACAGTGTGAGCTTTGTCCAGGCTTGAAACAATATCCCTTCCAAGTGCGCTTTGTGCGGAAATACTTATCATTGTATGATGGTAGTGCTTACTGACAGGCTAAAAACATGTTAGTCATTCCGTGTTCCGCAGCTAAAAGGGCCATTGTTCCTTACAATGAGTCCCACGGGGTGAAATTTAAGTCTGTGGGCATAGCTGTGTTGCCCCCACCTGGCTTCACCTTGCTCCTTCTATTTGATTGCTTGGCTATCACAAGAATCTAATTCCAAAAGTGGATAGGTCCTCTATGTATTTGGTTATTTCTGCTACACGCCCATCTGTGACAGTTCATCTCCCAGACACTCCCAAGCAGGTTCTGAGGAAACGAGAGACTGAAATGCTGGAGCCTTCTTGTAGGGCAGAGTTCAGAGGAGCTGTCCCAGGCGAACGGGCTGTGGGCTCAGGTTCCAAGGCAGCCTGTAATCCTGTGCCTGGAGCAGGTTGGAAGTTGGCTAACTCAGGTGTGTCGGCTTCGGCGGACTGGGGCTTGTCTGGATGGAATGACATGGAAGTGACATCTGGACTGTTGTAGACTATAAAAAGCAATCAGACTGGGGAAGGTCCCATGAAGTACTCCATGCTCAGTTTCTAAAAACGATTTTACTTATCACCTGAAAGAACATTTGAGGCAGAGAGACGAGGAGACAGGAATAATAAAATTGGGAAGCCATGAGTTGACTTTTTTTGAAACATGGTGCTGCAGTTTAGAATCTTCGATGCTCCCTGAAGGCCCATGTGTTAAAAGGCTGAGTGTGCATGAACATGGGTGGGGGAGGGTATTTATTTGATCAGTGGCAGCTCCTCATTGGCTACAGCAGGGAACAACGTACCTTCCCTTCCCCCAGACACCATTAACTGGACCACATCTCCCCAGGGAGGAATGTTTGCAGGCCTGGTCTTGTGCAGGTATCAGGCAGGTAACTAACTAATCACTCATGCAGGTAACCAACTAACCACTCATGCAGGTAACCAACCACCCATACAGGTAACCAACCGCTCGTACAGGTAACCATAGCTGCCCTGAGGTCATGAGTGCACCGGCTTGGTCCTGTCAAGGAGGGCGTGGTGCATAGCACTTCCTCCCCCTCTGGCTCTTCTCTTCTCTCTGAACCCTCTTCCTAACGTCTCCTCCACCTCGGAGGCAGGGTTACAGATGTCATTTAGGGCTGAATACCGGGCAGTTATTCTCGGCGCTTTGAGCTGTTATGAATCTCTACACTCACGTCCCCTCTCTCTGCCCACAGCTGAGAACGGTGCTGTTCCATGATCTGAACGTGATCACTGAGAAGGCAGTTTGACAGCACCGCCGTTTGGTTCCCTCAAGGATCCGGCCGTTGTTGGCCATGTTCTCTTGTTATTTGCCTCCAGTGAGGCAGTAATTCCCAGTGTGGACACATGAGCAGAGTCACTCACCTCCCAACCAGGAGCAAAAAAAAATAGGAGGTCACTGAAATTACCTGGTGCGAGTGAGAAGGAGACCCGGAACACGCAACAAACCTGCTGAGGAGTTTATTGAGGGTGGGTGGGTGAGGTCGGTGTGCAGAAAGAGAGAGAGAGGAGGGAGGGAGGGAGGGAGGGAGAGAGAGAGAGAGAGAGAGAGAGAGAGAGGCCACAGGTAATGCCAAGAATGCCCCCTTTATTGTGTTCCAGGGCAGCTTATATAGGGCTCTTCCTTGACTAATGGTCACACCCTAGCTCTCGGGATTTTTCAGCTGCAAGCCCACCAGAAACCACTCCCGCCGCCATCAGGAACTCCTGAGGGTCTCGTGCTCAGAGCAGCTGCAAACACAGGAAAACAAGTTGTTTACTCCGGCAGGTAGGGGTTCACAGGAAATTCAGGGTCTGGGGGTCCACAGTGTAAAAGGTTTCTCTAGTACTTGGCTGCTTTGCTTTCCTGATCTTCGGGTTGAACCCCAACATCTGTCTCTGGGCTACTCCCTACTAGATAAGGGACCTTGATTGGCAAAGGCCATGGCTGCCCCACCCTGTCAGTCAGGGAGGAGCCGTCTTCGCCTCCCTCAAGAAGGAAGTTCTCTCTTGCTTCTCAGAGTGCAAGCCTGTGTACAAATTGGCACCTAACTGCAAGCCAGCGGTGGCATCTAGTGTCCAGGGAACTAGTCGCCTCTTCTGCAGAGACGCCCATTAATTTAGATAAGCTGACTGGGGAGCCTAAGTTCAGGGAGAGACTCTGCTACAAATATAGGAGGTGGTGAAGCAATTGGATGAGACACTTGATCTCTGACCTCTCTGTGTGTGACACATGCACACATATGCACACACACACACAGCTGCGTGTGGCGTACCTTGCGATAAAGCAACACTTCAGGCTGTGATGAGCGGAAACGGCTTTTCATAGCAGAAGGGAGAGCTAACTCCCCCTGAGTTCCTGATTGCCTGAGTGCTCTCTCCCTACTTTGGGTGGCTCTTCACCCATATTTTGAGTTCACAACACCCCCCCCCCAAATGCCTGCCTTTAATGAACCTCTGTGTAACATTCCATCCTGTGGGATGTCACCCCATCAGCCAACGGCTCAAGTCTAATCAGGCTGCCCACAGGGTGAGTGATGATTTTGCCGTCTTGTTTTTCCTACAAGTCTGATGCTCTGTGCCAAATCATCCACAGAAGGATGCACAGTCAGGAACAGGGCTGAGCTGTTGACAGAAGCTAAAGAAAAAATGGTAAGCTGGGTCCTTAGCTGTCTCGTTCCGTTCCAGTCTGTGCCCCTGAAGATGGTCTTCCTCTTCAGCTTCCCAGAGAGGAGCAAGGAACATGGACGCTAAGCAGGGCCAGCGGGTCCTGGGCTACACAGATATTGGCAGGGCGCATGGCACACCTACTTTGGGAGGATTCTGGTGTTAAAGGAACAGCTATGATGGGATGCCAAAACAAGGGTTGAGAGAGTCAGAAAGTATTTTCAGTGTTCAAATCGAACAGAACAGGGAGCTGGGAATGTCGCTCAGTTGGTAGTGTCTTTGCCTGGCCCGCACAAAGCCCGGGATCAGTCCCCAGCATTGTGTACCCCAGGCAGGATGACATACACTTGCTATGTATGCCTCAGGAGGCAGAGGCAGAAGGATACAAAATTAAGATGACCTCCAGCTACACAACACATTCAAACTAGCCCGTGTTCCCCACAAGAGAAGGGGTCTCAAGATAAATGAGTAAGGGGGCTGGAGAGAAAGCTCAGCAGTTTAGAGCACTGGCTGCTCTTCCAGAGACCTGGGTTCAAGTCTCAGCACCCACATGGCAGCTCACAAATGTCTGCAACTCCAGTTCCAGGGAATCTGACACCTGCGCACCAATGCATATAGAATAAAGTTAAATAAATTATTAAAATAAATAAATGATTAAATAAGAGTTGGAATGCAGACGGCAGACAGATAGTCACACACACACAGCTCCTACTCACTGCAGTGACCTGTATTGAATCTGGAACCACAGAATTTACAGTAAGCTGGAGGTGGCACGGTCTGCAGATGCGACACTTTTATGCGTCCCTTTGAAAATGACGTCATGTTAATGATGTCACTTACCTGATGGGGACCCACAGGAATGCAGTGTTTGCTTTGTGGCTTTATGCCGACTAGCCATGTGACCCTGTGGACAGCACTTTTCCTTTCTGTCCTCTGCCCTCTCCGGGTTTCCTCATCCATAAGGCGGCAAGCGTAGGGCCTCAGGCCCCTGCAAGCTCCCTCTAAGAGCTGATGAGGACATCAGCTGAGTGGGTGTCATCTCAGTCCTGGGGATAGAGATCTTCCTTGCAGGGAGCCCACGCTCTGTGCCCAGGTGAGGTGGGAAGAAGACAGGGATGTGGGGAGAGGAAGGGGTATACCTATTAGGCATGTAACGTGACACGGCTGACTACATAGATCACAATCGAGTCACAAAAGAAAGCTCTCTTAACAGTCTAAGTATGTGATTTTGAGTTGGTCTGCGTTCAGACACGGGCAGGCACCACGTGCTGCAAGTAATGGAAAAGGAGCGCGGCCCACAGAGGCCTCAGCCTTTGGTGATTCCCACATGCTTTTAGTAAGATGTTCTTAAGGGATGTGCCATAGAGATCATGGAGGACTCAGGGGCCAGAAAGGCCACCGACGGACCCAATGAAGATAGGAAGTGACTCCCTACTGAATAAGAACTGGGAAAGAGGAGGCTCCAGGAGCAATCCTGAGCATGTCTGCAGGAGGGTCTGGACAGAAATCTTTGCTCCAGTCAGTCAGCCACAGTGTATCCTTAAGTCTTATCTTCTCTCTGACCTTCCACCTCTTCATCAGTGAGAGAAATACAACTAACAGGCCCACTGTGGGTGGGTGGCGTTTGTCTGTCCCAGGCAGGCATGTAAATAAAGACCAGACTCATAACTGCAATAGAGCTTACTAAGCTTGACAGGGTATCAGCCAAGCAAGGTCTCATCAGACCTGTCTGTCACTTCCTTTCACCCTGCCCTGACAAGCCCAGGGGGTGGGTACTCCCATGATCCCATTTCATGGCTGAGGTAAGTGATTTCGTCAGGGCATCAACGTTGGTCATTATCATGTCTTCTGGTGACATCATGGGAGGTTAAGGTGACCCAGCTGCTTTAGCAAGAATGTCAGCAGAGACCGGCAACAGCTGTTGAATGGCTCTGTTTGCTCGGAGGAGAAAATGAAAGAAAGGGATCCAGATAGGAATGCCTGTCACCACCCAGGATGGGTGTGTTTTATTGTCCCAGTGTGTCAGCGCTAAGCCTTGTTTTGAGTTCTGAGGGACACACAGTCATTGAAGCCATCCCACTGCTGTGACAATGACCCATTTGCTCGGTCGTAATGCTTCTGTCTTTTCTAGGACTTCCTGTAAATGGGTTCACAGACTTCTTTCACAGACTCCTGCCTGGCAATTGCTGAGCAATATCCCCCCTGTCACTCGGACCTGAGCTCTATTGAGTCAAAGGATGCACAGTGCGCTCTTGCTTCTTGTTCACCGTGAAGGAAGCAGTTGAGGACGGTCGAGTCCAAGTGTTGGTGGACATAGGTCGTTAGTTTTGCGGGTGACACATAGGAGTGAGGTGGTCGAATCACGCGCTAAGTATGAGTCTCACTATATAAAACTGTTTTTCAGACAAAAAAAAAATAGCTGCACTATTTTGTGTTCTCATTGGCGTGGTAGGAGGCTCCGCTCTTCCATGTCTTTCCTAAGAGTTGCTGCCATCAGTAAAGGTTAACTATCCTACAGTGTGTGGTGGCATTTTGTTGTGGGCTCTAATTTGCATTTCTGTAATGACCGGTGACAGTGAATAAGTGTACTCAATGCTTAGTTGATAATCTAATGTCTCTTTGTTAAATGTGTCTGTTCAGATATTTTGCTTAGTTAAAAATGCTGTCTTCTTTTTTATAGGTGTTTTAGGATTTTTTTGTTCTGTTTTATTTTGTTTTGTGACAACATCGCCCTATGTAGTCTGGGTTGGCCTTAGACTCTTGATCCTTCCGTCTTAGTCTCCTGTGTCTCTGGATTGCAGGTGTGTTTTTAATTTCATAAACATATTTAAAATAAAAGCCCTCTTCTCGAGTCTATGGTTTTTCTTTCCTTTTCTGTCTATTCCTCCCTCCCTTCCCTCTTCCCCCTCTCTGCACCTCCTTTCTTTCTTCCTTCCTCCCTCCCTGTCTTCCTCCCTCTTTCCCTCCCTCCCCCCTTCCTATGTACCAGTACCAGGGTCTTGCTAATACAGTTTAGGATGACCTCAGTCCCCATTTTTTTTTTTTTTTTTTTTAGTTTCTCTCTCTCTCTCTCTTTTTTTTTTTTTTTTTTTTTTTTTTTTTTTTTTTTTTTTTTTTTTTTTTTTTTTTTTTTTTTTTTTTTTTTTTTTTGGTTTTTCAAGACAGGGTTTCTCTGTGGCTTTGGAGCCTGTCCTGGAACTAGCTCTTGTAGACCAGGCTGGTCTCGAACTCACAGAGATCCGCCTGCCTCTGCCTCCCGAGTGCTGGGATTAAAGGCGTGCGCCACCACCACCCGGCTCTCAGTCCCCATTTTTGAGTACCCGATTAGAGGCCTGTATAACGCCGAACCCCTTCCATTTCCTTATTGGAGACCCTTGAAGATGGAAACGTCGATTTTTATGGTGACTTAAGTGTCTATTAATCTTTTTAAGGATTTTGAACTATAGGAAAAACTGGACAAATCCAAGGTCACAGGGTTCTTTTCCCGTGGTTTCTCTCATGGGTTTTATAAATGTACCTTTCCCATTTAGGTCTGTAAGATCTGCCGCCATTTCAAGTTAATGTTTTACTTTCAGAGCCACGTCTGTCTTTGCACGCGGATATTCAGTTGTTTCAGTGTCTTTCGTTGGGAAGACTCACTGACTTAAAAACATTAAATTAGCAGCACACTCGACTGTATTTGAGTGAGTGTCTTTCTGATGTCCCATGATCTGTCCTGCACCAGGAGCACACTGTCAGGCCCTTGTAGCTTTGTGCTAGATCTTGAGCGCAGGCAGTTGAAATCTGCCATTTTCAGTCTTGGAGAACCTGTTCTCCTTTTCGCAGAGGGCCACCTGAGAGTGCTGGCATCCATTAAACCTGGGCCTTTTCCGAATTGGTTTGATTTGGTCTGGTTGGATTATTGCATCGGTGGAGAGGCTTATCGGGCCAAAAAATTTTGCACTGTGCTTTTGAGGACGAAGTATCCATGGGAAAACTGTAGTTAGTGGTTATTTCCATTAGTACAGTCGAGAGAGAGAGAGAGAGAGAGAGAGAGAGAGAGAGAGAGAGAGAGAGAGAGAGAGAGAGAAAATTGAGGGACACTGAACCCCAAATGTACAGAGAGGCGGCCAAGAAAGCCCAGACAAGCACTTAGAGGCCTCAGAACAGCAGCTGTGAGGGGTCAGGTGCCAGCTACTGGGAGAGCTCTTCCAGGGGAAGTCGCAGGAACTCAGACCCACTGGATGGCCTCAGAGCCTTGTCCACCAGGGCAAGCCTGGATCTTGTTCTAAGGGACACCGCTGGGTGACGAGGCTGATCTCAGTTTTTAAAAGGTTCTGTGTTATATAATCAGTTCTATCAGTCAGCTACTTTGCAATACAAATGAGTACTTGGTCTGTATTTCAGAAACTTCTGGAATCCTGAGAAAACACAACACTCTGGCTGCACCACCTGGAAACTCCCAGTCAGCCTGGGACCTGAGGTGATTTATGCAAACACTCAGGGGCAGATATTCTTCACTTGGTACTGATGAGCTGTCTTCCATGCAAATACGGGCTCTTCATTTTACTGCAAGTCACGGTGAGTCAGGAGGTCCTGTTTGCAAGGTGTGACTAAGAGATGTGATGCTGATTGCAGCCCTTCTTGGCCCTGGCTCAGGAGATCCTTTTAAACTGAAGATCAGCTTAAGCTTAGCGTGAAGTCACAGGTATATAAGCGTGTCAAGAGTCTGTGTACAGCCTTTCTTTACCTGCTGCCTTCCAGTGATCAGGATTGGGTTGCCTCTGTGATCCTGGACCCTGGATGTCCCCACCACTGTCCACTCTCTTGATGATACTGACATTTTAAATAAATTCAATGGCTCTCCCTCTACTCTGTGCCTCGCTGTACCTTAATACTCTGCATTTTGGGTTCTCTGTGATTCTGTTACATCCCTCGATGACATGGGGACACGGAGGCTGTCCCTCTGGAGACAGTATACACACACACACACACACACATATGTATATGTATATATACCATATGTGTTCCTGGTGCCTGTGGAGGCCAGAAGACATCTCTTTAGCTGGAGTTAAGAGACAGATGCGACCCACAATGTGGGTTTCTGGGAAGTGAACTTGGGTCCTCTGCAAGAGCAGCCAGTGCTCTTAACCTCTGAGCCATCTCTCCAGTTCCAAGGAGCTTTATTTCCTTAGGACATCGGGCACGGAATCCAGGGCCGTAGGCTTGTTCGTTCAGCAAGCAAGCACTCTTTCTGTGTATTTTAAGTTCTATTTTATTTTACTTTTTTTTTTTTGGAGATAGATTCACATTCTGTAGCTCAGGCTCAGTCTGAACTCATGGCAATTCTCCTGTCTCAGTCTACCAGGTGATAAGATTACAGATGTGAGCCTGGCTTTGACAAGGACTTTTAAGTTCCCAACCCTTCTGGATACTTGTTTAAGGATATCAGATATATATCCTGATTTACTTTTAATTTTTTTAAATTAAAATATGATTAGCTACATGTCACCTGTGTATGTATGTGTCATCTATAGCCCCTCCCTCCCTCCCTCTCTCCCTTCCTCCTCTCTCTCTCTCTCTCTCTCTCTCTCTCTCTCTCTCTCTCTCTCTCTCTCTTCTTCTCACCCCCAAGTATCTATTTTCACCTCCTTTGCTTAGGCGATGTTGACAGTCTTGTTGGGGGAGATGATGAGGAAGAGGGAGACATTGGGGAAAGGGAGATTGACTGGTGTGGGTCTTTGAAGAGTTCATGCAAAGCGCAGTGTTCTTCCGTGGTCCCTGGTGTCACCTGTTTTACAGCTACCACTATTTTGTGGCCTGGCAGAAGTGAATGAGTTGTCGAGCTGGTGACAGGTGGGCCCTCCAACCCCAATCTGATCCCAATAAAGGGCACCTATGTCTGCCTCTGGGGTTCTAGGTGCTGCCCTGGTCGTCTCCAGCTGGACTTGAAACTCAGTTTGATAAAGAGTCCTGCGAAACAGTGCCTGCGGAGTCACAGCGCCAGGTTCCCGTGCTTTCCTGAAATGCCAGGCTTGAGTTCCCTATGAAGCAGGGCCTTGCTCGCCAAGCTCCCACGGCTTGCCCTTCAAATGGCCTGAATTATCTGGCACTCTGCATTGCCACTGAAATGAAAAAGAAAAAAGTTTCATTGGAAGCGAGCGTGCTCACCCAAACCCGCAATGATTGTGTAAACATTCTGCCGTGAGACTCTGGAGCGCAGCTGCCCCCTGCTGGGGAGACCAAGGCGGCTGGTGGGAGCGAGGAACGTGCTAGCATCTTTCCGCGGTGCACGCTAGCTGTGGTGCATGACGGGAACCGAAACGCGGAACTAAAAAAGTCAATCTTGCACTAGCGGAACTGACAATCAACGAATTCACATAGACTGGTTTTTTTTTTTTTTTTTTTTTTTCCTTCTTACTGGAACTGTTGGAGTTGATTGATGGGAGAGAATCGGAGGGGGAGGGGAGAGTAGATGGGAGAGGATCGGAAGAGGAGGGCAGGGGAGGAGGGGTGGAGGATAAGGCATTAACTTTTCTAACCCAACGAGACAAAGATATGGAGAAAGTGCGCTAAGAGTGACCCGGCCGAAGGAATCCAGGAATGCCCCCCACCCCAACAGACTGTTGGTTCCGGCACCGTGCCGAGTGAGAATCTGCTAGACTGATAAGGGTGTTCTGTGCCTGTCCTATCCAAGACAGTAACTACAGCCCACACGGAAGAGAGGCTATACAATCGAAGAAATAAAATTTTCACTTTATTTTATTTTTGTGACTGTGTTCACGTTTAGAGAGCCACCCGTGTCTAATGGCTAATGTGTTGGACAGTAGAGTTCTGGGTCCATTAGAAACTGGAACAAACCGAAACGCCCACCACAGCAGTGAGGCTCAGGGTAGAGCTTTCCAGGAGAGGAGCATGATATGATTTCTTTACATATTTATTAGAGACAAGGTCTCATACTGGAGTCCAAGCTAGCCTCAAACTCATGGCAATTCTCCTGTCCTAGTTTCCTAAGTACTGAAATTGTGAGTGTGTTAATGAACAGCTAAGAATTTGTTGAAGACAAACTCAAGCGGGTTTGGCTAATCCTAGGACCCCAGAGGCTGAGACAGAAGGAATGCAAGTTCAAGGCTTTCCTGGGCTACAGAATGAGCTCAGTTTTGAGACGTGTGTCAGGATAATAATAGTAATAATAAAGGCTAGGGTGTGGTTCAGTGGTAGAGCAGTTGATTTGACATGCTTGAGGTCTCATGGTCCATCTGCAGCCCTGCGACAGGAAGGAAGGAAGAATGAGAGAAAAAAGAGAAAGAAGAAAGAGAGGGGATGAGAAAGGAAGGAAAAGAAGACATTCAGATTCCTGAGAAAGACGTATCTTCCTTTATCTTCCCGAGTTCAGCGGATGCCTGGTGGTCCGCTGTACACCATTCAAGACAGGCTCTGTCTTAAAGGTGGCCTCTGCGTGTCTCTGGCCTGGGTCATTAGGAAAGGCATTTTCAGCTTGCTTGCAGAACCGCCTTGGTAGCACGCTGAGTCTGCAAACGTTTCTGCCCATTAAGGAGAAGTCTCTCCTACTCGTGACCTCACCAGTGAAAATTTCTTTAATTGTCTCCTGGTGTTCTGGGCTTTGCATTTTTGTTTCTAGGGATACATTCCTGGGTGATGTCATGAAGTCCCCAAAGACACAGTGGGGCTGTGTTGGATTGGGAAAGACACTATGCTGAGGACTTATCTGGATCTGTCAAAAGGAAAAGAAGGGGAACAGGCACTTGGGGAAATGTCCTCCCTCCAGCTCGTATTTTGGTTTAGCAACCGTGGTGGAGGAGATAAAAAAACACATGGAAGTTAGAGGAGGCGGCACGGTCCCAGGAGGACTGGAGGCTGAAGCTGGGCTGGCAGCGTGCAGGCACCGCACAGACTCAGAAAGGAGATTACAGCGTGGCTGAATTTTCAGGGATTCAACAGGGACCAGGGTAGAGATTCTGTGGGTTCTGAGACAACTTGACTTCAGCCAGATGGTATTTGAATAATCTGTGAGAGAGAAAACAGAGATAGCAAACACGGCCAGATTTAGCGGTGAAGCTCTCGCTTTGAGTCACGTGCTGCTGCGCCCAGAGGTCAGGCTGACACTCAGCTCAAAAACAAGTGAGGAATTGAAGCCATTACTCAGATCATCCACAGCCATGGCGACGGGAAAAGCCACATCCCCAGAAACAGCGGGGTTGTTAGAAGCTGTTGGGGATTGGCACAGTTGTCTTGAATGTATGGAGCAGAGGAGATTACAGAAAAATCTAGAATGTTAATGAGGATACATTCGAGTTGAGTCATCAGTGTGGGAAACCGAGAAGCTCCCATCCTCTAAAAGGAACATTTCGCTCTCAGCCAAAAAGGAAATAAAAATTGGGGCTTAAATCTGGCAAATGATTTAGAACTCTGTGTCGGTATTTCACACGCACCGTGGATAATTTTCATGTTGGAGTTTATTTGGGCTAAAAGGTAGAAAATGGTAAAATAAAACAAAACCACACCTGAAGAATTTTGAGATACCGTGGATAAAAGTAATGTTACTTACAGCTGTCTCTTAATTAGTGCTTCCTTCTACCTGAGGTGATTTGCTGGGCTAGTCAATGCAGAAAAGATCTCTCCTCCTCTTTTTCCCCCTCCCTTCTCCCCTCCTCCTTCTCTCTCTCCCTCCCTTTTCTTCCCTTCTCCTTCCCATCCTCCTCCTCTTCTCCTTCCTTCCTCTCTCCTTCCTTCTTTCTTTCCTCCTTCTCCTCTGCCCCCTTCTCCCTTTCTTCTTCATTTATTCAAAGTTTAACAGCATTCAGTTTACCTGTGTATAATGGAAAGACAGTTTCAGGCAGCTTAGGGAAGATTTATCTGTGTTCTCCAGTGTGGATTTCAGAGGTGGGTAACAATGAAAGGTCAGAATTTGAGGATGTTCCCTTATTTGGCTTGGCACTTAGGAAGTGGGACGGATGAGCCTAATCTACCAGTTTGCACCACTAGACACAAGGCCAGCCTTTCCCTTTAAGGGGCTGTTTGGGAAGCTCTCCACCAACCGCTTCTGGCATCGCATTGGCCAGAGGCCTCTTAAATGACACTCTTAGTTGTAAAGGAGTCTGTGATTTGTGATTTGTAGTTTTAAAAGCCCCTCCAGACAGTTGCTACTATCTTACCAAGGAAGAAGGGCGACAGGATATGGCTAGGTGTCTAGTAGACGTTACCACTTTTAAAAGCCTTAATATGAATCTGAATCTATTTTTAAGCTAGTGTCAAAAAATAATCTTCACATTTATTTGTGTGTGTGTGTGTGTTTGTCTGTATGTACACCACATGTAGCTGGTGCTGGAGGAGGCCAGAAGAGGGCACCAGAGCTCCTTGAGTTGAAACTACACATTCTTATAAGCTGCCTGATGTGGGTGCTGGGAACTGAAGTCTGATGTTCTGCAAGAGCAGCAAGTATTCTCTTAACTGATGAGCCATCTCTCCAGCCCCCTAAAATAATTTTTTTAGATTTATTTATTTAGTATGTATACAACATTCTGCCTCCATGTATGCCCACATGCCAGAAGAGGGCACCAGATCTCATTACAGATGGTTGTAAGCCACCATGTGGTCGCTGGGAATTGAACTCAGGACCTCTGGAAGAGCAGCCAGTGCTCTTAACCACTGAGCCATCTCTCCAGCCCCCCCCCAAATAATTTTAGTCATTTGTTTTAGCAAATTCTATTCACAATCAATTATCAGAGTATAAAACAATGATTTTATACATATTATATATATAGCAGGGATAATAGTTGAGTGTGTGTGTGTTCTCTCTGGGCATGTGTGCTTTCTAAGAATGTAAGCAGTGTTCTTATGCTCACAGTCACTGCAGTTCTCTGGGGAACTTCAAAGGAATGAGGCATGCCTGCCTGCCAGGAGCTCTATCTTCCTCTGTTGGAGTCTGAGCTGAATGAGGGGCTCTGAAGAACGAAGCAAAGAGCTCAGGTAGCAGTGTTTTAAACCCAAAAGTGCTGTCTAGAGCAAGTTCAACTTCATTAGCGACCCGAGGAGAGATCCGCTGAGCCTAAGGCAAGCCCTCTCAGGATGGAGCATATCCACTTTGATTCAAGTGACTCAGACAGCCACGGCAATTGAGTAGAGCTTGTGTTAGGGTCTGAAGCTATGTCTTTGCCAGCCAGCTCTGACGAGCGTTGGAAGAAAGGATGGAGATGGAGGAAGGGTCGGGAGCAGGGCCTACAGTTCAGACTAGAGGACAAGAATACACCAGCTTGTTGACTTGTGGCCTGTGGTTCAAGGGTTGTAAACACCCTCAGGACAAGGCAGTCACGTTGATTGAAGCTGAATGGGTGAGAAAACACAGAGAATGAAAGGGTCACTCACTTTCTGGTTATAGCTGAAACCGCAGACAGCATGCTACTAGCTGCTTAGATCTTTCAGGGAAATCTCAATGTCTTCATGTTGCTATGAAATCTGATGTGATAAATCTGGATAAAATTTATAATGCTGGGTCAGTCAAGCGTTGGACTAAGGTACATTGGCTTTGGGGGCTATGTGACATTGACTTATAGGCAGACTTTTCTTTCCTGCCCACCAGTTCCCAAATAACTGACATGGAGGCTTAATATGAATGTTCAGTCAATAGCTCAGGCTTATTACTAGATGCCTCTTACAACTTAAATTAACCCAATTCTGTTCATCTGTATTCTGCCAGTTGGCATTACCTTGCACCTCCTGTTTCGTCTCTGTCTGGCTGATGACTCCTCTGACCCCACCCTTCTTCTCAATGTCCTTGGTCTGGTTCTCTTGCCTAAACTTATCCTGTCCAGCTACTGACTGAGCATTTATGGTTAATATTAAATCTCCTATTAAGACTCTTATCAGGGGAGGACTTGGGGACTTCTCTCTCCTCATTATCTTCCATTTCTTCCTCTTCCCCTGCTTCCTTCTTCTCCACCTTCTTCCTTCATGACTCTTTACTGGCTTCCCTCCTCCTCACCTTCCTGTTCTTCCTCCTCTTCGCCCCTCCTTTCACCTTGTGGATGGCAAGCATGTTTGAGAATGGAGGAGTTCCCGTAGGCATGCAAAGAAACCAGTTGGGATGCTCTGTGCTGGGTTGTGACTGGTGAGGGAGGGCACAGTCCAGGCAGTGGAGTGAGCATGGATGAAAGGGCGTGCTGCTTTCTGGAGCAACTGCTCAGGTGGAAGCCCAGGATGGGTTTCTGACTTGAAGGGCACAGTTCGGAAGAGGAAGGCCTGAGGAAGGAAGACTGAGGTAGAAGCTGCCGTCTAGCTCCTTGCTAGCAGCACCTCCCCACGAGCATGCTTTATTAATCACGTGGGATTAA